TGGTCAACGTTTCCACAGCCAGCTTCCTACGTGCCCGGACCAGGGAAGATATGGGTGTTGTCTACCGGCCCGGCGCTTGGACCGTCCTGGAGGCGCTGTTTTTAAAAATCTGCAACCGTTGGCGCGCACCACCCCCACCATGGCTGGTTCTGTGTCGGACCAGATCAGGACGTGCCTCATCAACACAAGGTCTGTTGCCAACAAGAATTTTGTTCTAAATGACTTTTTTAAAGACGAGGGACTAGATATTTCTTTTTCTCACGGAATCCTGGTTGCCTTTGGGTGATTCAAGCGCCTTGGTGGAACTTTTACCTCCTGACTGTCTGTGTTTTAATGCCCCGCGGCCATCAGGTCGGCGGGGTTGTGGAATATTAACTGTATTTAAATCAAACTTTTCCTGTAAACAGTTGTCCACACTCATGCCCTGCTCCAGTTTTGAGCTGAGTGCTTTTGAACTCGGACATTCTCCTCCCGTTCTGTGCGCGATTGTTTATCGCCCCACTCGTTCCAAGGACTTCATAAGTGAATTCTCTGATTTTCTGGCTTACATCACACCAAGATATGATCACTTTATTATCGTTGGTGACTTTAATATTCACGTCTGTTGTCAGGAGTAGCCGTTAGTGAAGGACATCCTTGATCTGTTGGACTCATTTAACTTAACTCAACATGTAAATGGTCCCACTCAACAACACGTTCACACTCTGGATCTCATTTTAACACGCGATGTCTCTGTTTGTAATTTGGTAATCGGTGACAACGTTCTCTCAGACCACATGCCTGTCTTGTTTGATATCATCCCGCCTTGTTCTACTGCTAAGTCATGTGATTCTGCACGTACTTCACGCACCATTAACCGTTTCACTGCTACACGTTTTACTGAAGCTTTTAGCTCTGAGAGGATCGATCAGCTCTCATTGTCTCTCTCCACCGAGGAGCTAACCTCTCAGCTTAACTCTATTTGCTTCAACAAAAATGGTTGAATCATGTCATCTGGACTTCGTTTTTTTGTTAAAAAAGAAACGTTTCGCCCCTCATCCAAGAGGCTTCGTCAGTCTGAGGCCTAGCCATCTGGTATTACCCAGAAGCCACCCTGACTCTTGTGTTTCAAGCCTGCCTCAGATACCCCTGAAGTCTGGCCTTTTCACTAATGGTTTCAAAAACACAAAGTTTGTTTTCTCAGTCATCCAGGTATATAACAACAAAAATGGTTGAATCATGTCATCTGGACTTCGTTTTTTTGTTAAAAAAGAAAC